TTTTTTTTTTTTTTTTTTTTTTAATGTAGTTAGGTTCAAGATCTGCACAAAATTGGGGGTGGGAGGAGTCTGATGCTGTTCTGTAGGGTAATGTAAAGAACCACTCCCAGTGCAATTATGTTGCTCTTGGGAACATATTTCCCCACCCCCGTAGGGATGTCGACTGTAGTGTCTAAAACTAATGGATGTCTCTGAGGGGTGTTTTGTGCACACACAAGCATGCCGGAATTATCAGAATTTATCTGCTGGACAGCCAGAAGTAAATCCTTATCACACACTTCGCACTAGTGGGCAAGTCTAGAGGAGACTTTGAATGCCAGTGCCCACCCAGAGCTATTGTGTTGAAGCCCCCTTGTGGTGTGGGGCTGGAGCGAGTAATTCAAATGTAAGGGAATGAACTGTTGGGGATTACTGTATCTTGGGTTGGGGGAAGGAGGTGAACGCTCCAGTGTGACCCAGTCCTGGGGTAGTAGGTGGGACTTCTCTAAAAAGAAGAGGTCCGCATGCTCTGAGAAAGCAGTCTTTTTGGGATGGGGTGGTATATTTAAGTATGCACATCAAGGAAAGAAACTGGAAAAGAGGGGGGTGACCGCTTTTGAAGGTATTTTGGTTTGGTTGTTTTTTAAAATTTAGTTGTTATTATTATTATTTTCTCTTGAGAGAGATAGAGCGAGCCAGGGAGGGGCAGAGGGAGAGGTAGAGTCTTAAGCTGGCTCCATGGGTGTGGGAGCCCGACACAGGTTCCATCTCATGGCCATGAGATCATGACCGTGAGATTATGACCGGAGTCAAAATCAAGAGTCAGAGGCTCGACTGACCGAGCCACCCAGGCACCCATGGTTTGGTTGTTCTTTAAATGCTTACCTCTTGAACTGTGAGGACAGTCTTAGGAAATTTCCCATTTTACAAACATACTTCTCATTTATGTTACGATCACCTTAAGTTCCTCCACCCTTCAGCAAGATGCATGAACGGTCTCGTGATACTGGTGCGGAAAAGGAGAAAATGGAAGTCTGGCTGCTCTGTGCTCCCAGGTCAACTGACGACTGGTCAGTGGGAGAGCATGCGGCTAGCCCACAGAGATCCGAGGTGCAGGAAATTCCGTCGTGCGGTAGTAAGGGAGGGGAACAGCTGTGAGCAGAGGGGGAGGTGCTTCTGAGCCGGAGGGGCTTCCGTTGAACGGGCAATCCTTGTAAGGCACAGCACCTCCTTCCCAATTTATACTAAAGGTAAGCAACATTTGAAGCAGGGAAAGCTGATGCTTGGATTGCAGGTAATACGCAATCTTTGTGTCAGAGATGCCCTTGTTCCCCACTGTGGTCCAGGGAACTCACAGTCTCATTAGGCATACAGAGAGTCCTCTGTACCGACCACTGATTACAGCTCTTTCAAAAGAACCTACCGCCCTGTCTCCTCAGATCCCTTTCTTTTTTGAGGCCCCAATCCTTTGAGGTCTCTCTGGATACATGGTCACTGTGTCGTCTGTCTCTTCAGGTTAGTAAGCGCCATTTTTTATTTTGAAATCTTTTCAGTTCTAGGACGCAGAATTTATTAGTCTTCTAAGGAAGGCAGTTGTATCTTATCTTGTAACCTGTAACCTGTACCTTATTCCTCAAGGGAGTATCCCAATTTGTTAAGGGGCTGACAAAACATCCGTATTCCTCAATCCATTCTGCACAGGAGCTGTCCAAAGATTTTCTGTTCTCAGGGAAAAGTGCTGATCTTACCTTCCGGCCCCAACCCCCAATGTAAGGTTGAAATTAAGCCCAGAACAGCTCCTAAAATCTACTGATGCCAGGAGCCTAATTCTCCATTGTCGGCCCGAGAAACAGATTCCCTGCACACACTTTAGGCACGTGTGCTGTGATGACTCCCATCTGCTTTTTTGGAGTCATATGGACAGACTTTGGTGGTCCTTGTCATTTAACTCAACTTTCTTATTTTTCAGACACAATGGATTAAACCTTTCAGGCGTGAAAATCTTTATTCTTAACGAGTGTGATTACATGACTCTTTTGGCGACTTTTAATTTATATTCAAACATAACATACATAATTTTAAATTTGTAAGCTTCGTTTCTGTGATAGCATCACTAGAGGCACAATTTTGTTCAAGATTCTCTGAGTTATACTATAGCAAGCTAGGAACTTTGTAGCAGAATCTTGGAATATCTTAAAGCTCAGCTTAAGCTCGGTTTTAAAACATCTACATCTGCTTGAACCCTCCAGTTTGCCCAAAGCCTCATCACTCCATATTCTTTCACTATCAACTCCCTTGGATATTCCTTGCCTAGTCTCTGAAAGCATTTGAGTTTGCCACTCGATTAAAAAAAAATTTTTTTTTAATGTTTATTTATTTTTGAGAGCGAGCGAGAGAGAGCACGCACAAGCGCTTGGAGGGGGGAAGGGCAGAGAGAGAGGGAGACACAGAATCTGAAGCAGGCTCCAGGCTCTGAGCTGTCAGCACAGAGCCCGAAGGGGAGCCTGAAATCATGAATTGTGAGATCACGACCTGAGTTGAAGTTGGACGCTTAAACGACTGAGCCACCCAGGCGCCCCTTGTCACTCTGGATTTTAATTCAATTCCCTCATTCTATAGTTGAGAAAAATAGACTGCATAGACAGGAAACAACTTGCCTGGGAAAGCCACTCTGGAGAGTAGAACATAATTTCCTGCTTTCTCACCATACTTTGTACTATGGCCAAAATCAACATTTGTTACCAAAGAGTAACAGAGAATCTACGATTCCCCCAGCATTTCAGAAGTTAGACTTGTTTGGGAATGGCCACAATTTCTTGTCTGTTATGTGTGTCCACGTGAGAAGAAATCTCACCTAAATTTAACTCCCCCGCCCCGGTCTGGCCCACTTCAAACCGACCGCAGACGCCTGGGGAAGGCAAGGCGAAGACGCGGTCCACACCAGGAACCTTCTCTCCTAGCTCACGTTTCTACCCGAGCCCGCAGAGACCAGGACCGGAAGTGGCGCTCCGCTGGCGTACAGAACTACCTATGTAAACCGCGTTTGCTCTGGCCGGAAGAGAAAGGTGCAGCGCTTAGAAGGCTCCCCTCCTAGTACCGGCTTCCGAGCTGTTGCTGTTCCGGACGTGCGAGTAGATATCTGAAAGCTTCGGAGACTCTGGGTCGTGACATGCCGGGCGGAGGCCACTGCCCCGATTGCGGCTCCACTGAGCTCGTGGAAGACTCTCACTATTCGCAGAGCCAGCTGGTGTGCTCAGACTGTGGCTGCGTCGTCACCGAGGGAGTCCTTACTACCACCTTCAGCGACGAGGGCAACCTCCGAGGTATTTGTGCCGGCCTTTCCAGGGCCGTGGGTATAGGCTGGGGTGGTGGAGGGATTGACATCAGATTCCTCTTATGCCTCTCACGCCCTCTCGTTGTCACGTGTACACTTAACTACGGGAGAAAGTGACCTAAAGTGAAGGAGCGCTGCAGGAGGGCAGGGACGGCCATTCCTCTGCGTTTTTCTAGCACCTGGTACGGTATCTGGCATGTATTAGGTCTCATAAACGTCGACCAAATGAAACAGAGAAACAAGAGTTTCACTCAGTTTATCTAGTTTGGGTGTGATGGACGGATGGAATTCTTTACAAGTGCGGACAAAGTATGAGCCCGAAGGAGCCTTTAGCCCTAATTGACAAACACATCTTTTTTTTTTTTTTTTCCTTTCTTTCTGAGTCCCTGACCAGTGCAGCCCTCAAAATCAGCAATCAGGAAAATTGCCTGGATTGGATATACAGGAGAGATGGCTGCAAATTTGGAACTCTTGAAGCCACTTTAGTGCAGTCTTAACCTTCCTCAGTCTCTGTATTTAAAAAAAAATTTTTTTTAACGTTTATTTATTTTTGAGACAGCATGAACGGGGGAGAGTCAGAGAGAGGGAGACACAGAATCTGAAACAGGCTCCAGGCTCCGAGCTGTCAGCACAGAGCCCGACGCGGGGCTCGAACTCACAGACCGTGAGATCATGACCTGAGCCGAAGTCGGCCGCTTAACGGACTGAGCCACCCAGGCACCCCTCAGTCTCTGTATTTGATACTGCTTGTGAACGTAGAAAACCAGATGGACTTTTAATGTGCAAAAATGGGCATGCACCTTCATGAGACAGGGAGCAGAGCCTAATGATATGAATTCTCCCTGGTTTTGTGTGGCGGGAGGCCAGGGGTCTGGTGAATAAAGGCTAAACAAAGCTATTTGTTGTCCCTTATCTTACAGAAGTAACATATTCCCGAAGCACAGGGGAAAACGATCAAGTTAGCCGCAGCCAGCAACGAGGTGAGACTCAACCTTTTATGAGACAGTGGCCTTAAAGAAAATTCTTCTGATGGTCCAGCCCATCCTCTTGCTTTTCCTGATTTCAGCATTGCTATGTAAGGTAGAGTAGAAGAGAATGGTAGTCCGAAATAAAGAATGGAGATGGTCTAAGAGAGGCGGCAATTCAGTATACAGTGTGGGTTTGTCAGGGGTATGTTAAAGGTTGATTTAAGCATCCCAGATCACACTTTGGCTTGGCTCTGAATCACACCAGCCCCTGAAGAGTGGTGGGTTGAAATGTGACTTCTTTCCCCAGATTTCTTTGTGTCTTTAGAATGACCTCACCAAGCGTCACTCCTGTCATCGTAGAAAAGTACATCATTTGTGCAACTGGTATGGGAGGCAAGTGTAGCAGAAGTTGCTAGGAGCCACTCAGTAGTGCCTTTGACCCCTCTGACTCTGGCTGTGGGCTTTCTTAGGTCTCCGCCGAGTGAGAGACCTCTGTCGAGTCCTGCAGTTGCCATCAACATTTGAGGACACAGCAGTTGCCTACTACCAGCAGGCGTACCGGCACTCTGGCATCCGTGCTGCCAGGCTGCAAAAGAAGGAGGTGCTAGTTGGGTGCTGTGTCTTGATCACCTGCCGACAGCATAACTGGCCCCTAACCATGGGAACCGTCTGCGCCCTGTTGTATGCGGATTTGGATGTGTTTTCTGGCACCTACATGCAGATAGTGAAGCTCCTGGGGCTGGATGTGCCCTCGCTGTGCTTGGCAGACCTGGTGAAGACGTACTGTAGCAGGTACCTGCCTACCGGGAACCCCCGGGACGGGATGGACCCTTAGCCCTCCATCTTTTTACCTTTCTGTCACTTTTTCACCAAAGCGCATCTAAAGGGATTTGGGAGGAAAATCTATATTCTCCCTCCCTCGTGCTCTTGTAGTCTCTCTTCCTAGTACTTGTCGATAAAGCTGATTCCATTTCACATTTCTAAACTGTTTGGCATTTCCGAATCCCTTTGCCTTTACTGCATCCTGATGCCTGATGTAGGCAGCGCAGGTATCAGCCTTGTCACCGGGCCGCTGAGTTGTGGCTCTCACGTTGTGCGTGGCCTGCTTGGCTGTGTGTGACCGCCCTGCCTCAGCAGGATCATCTGCAAGTGGAGGTGACAAGATGTTAGTGACTGGGCCGGCGGTGGAAGCTACTGCTTTTTTTTTCATTTTATTTTCTTTAGGAGCCACGTTCTTTTCCTCTCCTCTCCTCTTCTCTTCTCTTCTCTTCTCTTCTCTTCTCTTCTCTTCTCTTCTCTTCTCTTCTCCTTTTCTTTTCTTTTCTCTTTTCTTTTCTCTTCTTTTCTCTTCTTCCTTTTCTTTTCTGAAAATAGAGTAGAAGGCACAGGCTACCAGTGTCAAGTTGTGTTGGGTTTGCTTGGTTACTTCCTAGCTGGATGACTCTGGGCCAGATTTTTAACTATAAATGCACATAATGGGGCGTAGAGTGGATGATAGGAGAGCATGTGTAAAGCACGGAGAATACTGGCCGACGGGGTCGCTGACACATTGGCTTCCCCCCTGCATGCTCCTGCCCTTCACCTCACGGGTGGGAGACGCAGCCTGTCTTCTCTCAGCACCTGTATAAACCCGCTGCCAGCAAGTTTGAGTATTTGTTCCAAGAGGACAGAATAGCCCACCTGGAGTGGACTGCTTTTCTTCACTTGGGAAGAGCAGTCCCCTCCCCCGTGGGCATCGAGACCAGACTCTCCTTTTGGTCATTTCAGCTTCAGACTGTTCCAAGCCTCCCCGTCTGTGCCAGCCAAATACGTGGAAGACAAAGAGAAGATGCTGTCGCGAACATTGCAGCTGGTGGAGCTGGCGGATGAGACGTGGCTGGTGACTGGGCGGCATCCCTTGCCTGTCATCACTGCTGCTACTTTTCTGGCATGGCAGTCGCTGCAGCCTTCGCATCGGCTGACGTGTTCCCTGGCCCGTTTTTGTAAACTGGCGAACGTGGACCTGCCCTACCCCGCTTCCTCCCGCTTGCAGGAGCTGCTCTCCGTGCTGCTGCGGATGGCCGAGCGGCTGGCCTGGCTGCAGGTTCTGAAGCTCGACAAGCGCTCTGTGGTGAAGCACATCGGTGACCTTCTCCAGCACCGCCACACGTTGGTCCGCAAGGCCTTTCGCGATGGAACGGCAGAGATGGAAGCTGGGGAGAAGGAGCTGCGGGGAAGGTGCCAGGGGCCAGAGCAGGGAAAAGAGGAGGTGGCAAGTAGTTCCTTAAATTTGCCTGAGGGGAAGCGGCCAGCTAGTCCCACCCCTCTCCTCCCACCTTGCATGTTGAAGCCCCCAAAGCGGATCTGCCCCCCACCCCCAGTCTCCACAGTCACCGGAGATGAGAACATATCTGATAGTGAAATAGAGCAGTATTTGCGTACCCCTCAGGAAATTAAGGACTTTGAAAAAGCTCAAGCTGCAAGACAGGCTGCCAGGAGTGTTTCTAACCCTCCCTGATGTACATCTGGGGGAGCACTCACCACATTCTGACAGCAGCTTAATAATAATTCTGTCCTATCTGGAGAAATCAGCATATGTAAGTCCTTAGGTGTTTTCTTGTTTAAAGGAACCGAGGGACTCTGCAATTACCTGGACCCTGGGTCCTGGAATACAAGTTGGGAGCAGTGCAGGGACCATTGGCTTGGAGAGAATCGGTCCTTTGGTGCCGGAGAAGTGGCTCATGTTTGTATTACGTGGGATGGCTTTCCTTCTAGACTGGTTGGAGGAGGTTAGGCTTCTTCCTGGTTTGAACTGGGTACAGTGCTGCTGCTACAGGCCCGATGATGGGCCCTTGCTGCTGGTGTGGAGCGGGTGGTATCTTGAACAGTATCAGCCCCCAGAGGACAGGAACCGGGCAGCTGTGGGCCCAGTGTCCACCTATAGGCATCGATGGGTTCTTGTGTATGAGGTCATGAAATCCTCCACTTCATAACAAAAGGACCGTGGGTGGACTAAGGTTATAGCTCAAGGGCTTTGCAAAATTTTAATATATTAAAACAAGAGGCATCTGCTAGAAAACATTCTATTGTATAAAACTTAAGCTTTTAAAAACATGTTTTCTTTGGCACTTTTCATCCCCTCCCTCCCTTTTTTCCCCAGCGTATTGCAAAAGCTCTCCAGTGCTAAGGCATTGGCAGGGTATGTAAACAGCAGCCAGCATATGTGGAAGAATAATACGAAGCTTTTTTTTTTTTTCTTTTTGTCTAATATTGTCTGTGCAGCAAGCATAAATAACAGGATTCATCCCAAGGTGTGTGGGTTTTCTCCCCTCCCTTATGTCTTTTGCCTTCGTGATCAGGCTGCAGTGACATGGACGCTGGGAGGGGACCTAGACCAGGTCTTGTTTTCCTGTTCTTCACCAGGCCCAGGTTTCCCTCCACCTTCATTGGGTCCTTTAGTAAAAGGCTGGTGGTGACTTTTTAGGTTGGGGGGAAATATGGGTGCTGGTGTTTAAAAGTAGTGAAGGCACAGGGCCCGAGTGAGCTGCAGGGACCCTACCTGATACCTTGAGGGATTCAGCTTGGGAGTCTGTGAGGCAGGAAGCCAGTTTGATGTTTGGGAGGTTTCTCCCTAACCTGACTTAGAGGTCAGTTCTTGGACTGGTCCTTCCATACGGCCTCATGGAGGCAGGGAAGTCTCTTCCTCAGCCCCATGGTGTTAGAAAGCTGAGACTAGGGGTGTGGGGCTTGCAACTGAACAATAAGTGCTTCCCCAACACTACCTGCAGCCTTGTGGTAGAGCCTCTCTTCGGAGCACTGTTTATAGGGCCAGGTTTAGGGCGTGACTGCCTTCAGCTCCAAATCTAAGCACTATGACTCTCTACTTCCCTCAGATCCTTCCCAGGCATCTGGCAGAGTCAGCTTCTCAGGTGTAGGGCCTTGGTTTTGTCCTGGGACGCCCCGACTACAGCCCTGCCATGTGGTGTGTGGACCACTCCTGTGGGAAGTGTCCCACCGTCCCTGATGGTGCAACCTTCCCACCTGCTCCCACCCCCTTCCCTAGAACTCCATCTCCAGAGCTGCTTTCACACGGTTCTACCTTCTCTTGCATAGTTTATCTGAAAAGCAGCACCTATAGGTCCTGGTCATCTGGCTCAACTGCTAGGCTGGCCCCCTGGTTGGCCAAGAGCAAGGTTGGGGAGAGGCCCTAGGATCTAGGCACAGCGGGCTGACTTCTGACGAGGGCAGTGAGGAGAGAACGCTGTTCTCAAGCTCCTGTCATCTGTGTCTTCCTGATCAGGCCGATGACCATCAGTGAGGCACGGTGGATAAGCTGTGGGGAGTACCTAAGGAGGAGCCCACCTGGGGGCTCTGGTGGGGCAGTCTCCCACTCCACGGGCTTGCAGGACCTCCCCTGCTACCCTGGACGGCACCGATTTGACTGCCAAAACCAGCCTGGGCTGGGACGGAAATGTATCATGCCTGTGGTCCTGGGATTGTCGCTACCCCAGAGGGACTGCGCTCTGGGCGGTGGCAGGCCTCCCCCTGTGTTTTCCCCAGCCTCCAGGACTAAAGCTGGTGTGCCAAGCCGCAGCCATGGGCGCCTCTACCTCAAACCCGTTGATGTACCGGTTGACGTCTTTGAGGCCCCGCCCCCCCTCCCCCCCAGCAGCCTGGGTGACAGGGCCAAATGGCCAGCCTGTCCTACAGCGTCGCCCACCCCCGCCCTAGACGGTGGTTTCGCTCTTCCAGAGCCCCGTCTTCATGCAGGCGCCTCCGGCCGCCTCCGTGCCCGTCATGGTGATGTCGTCGTACTTGGCCCCCTTGGGCGCGCCGTTCAGACTGGCCGCGTTGAGCGGGTACGAGCGGCGCTTGCTCTCCCTCTCCAGCGCGCCGCCCCCGCCGCCCTTGAGGTTGTCGCGACTGGCGCTGCGGCGCTGGCCTGGCCGGCCCGCCTCGGGGGGCGGCGCTGCACTTGTGTCGCTGCCCTCCGATGGCGTGAGCATGGGCTCGCCCTCGAGCTGGAGGCCCGGGCTGTTGCGGCTGCTGCCCAGGTAGCTGTCGGACGGGCTGTTGTGCAGGCTGCCGCTCTCGCTGGACAGCAGCTCCGGCGCCCCGGCCGCCGCGCCCCCGCGCAGCGCCTTGAGCCGGTTCTTGGAGCCGGCCTCCCCCGCGCGGTGCCCCTTGACCCGACTCTTGTGCACTCGGCGCCCGTGGTGCAAGTTGTTGGCGTGGCGGGGCACGAGGCTCCCCCGGGAGCCCGTGGGCTCTGGCTCCCCTTCCCCGCGGGCCACCACCCCGGCCTCGCACACCTGACTCTGGGCCAGCTGCAGGTTGGTGAGCTTGCAGGGGCCCAGGGGCGGCGCGTGGCCGCTGCTGCCGCTCGGGGAGGACTTGAGGGAGGGAGGCCCCTCTCCGAACACGGGGGAACCGTCCTCTGAGGCGGCGGGCACGGCCCGGGGTGAGGCGCCGGGGGCGGAGGCGTGGGGGCAGCAGGCACGCCAGGAGGCCCTGACGTCCCTGCGCCTGGCACAGTGGTGGGTGAAGACGAAGAGTCCCAGGGCGGAGGCTGCCACCCCGTACAGGCAGCTGCACACCACCCGGGGCAGCCAGCGCTGGGACACGGCCAGAGCCCCACAGGCCCACATGGCCAGGTACAGGAAATGCGTGGTCACCAGCGCCCCCAGTTGGACTCCCGGAGAATAGAGGCCGTCACCATCCTCCGGGGGCCCGGGTGTCACCAACCCCGCGCTCCCAGTAGCCAGAAGGGAACCTGAGTCATTCAGGAAGGGGCCGCTGCTCCTGGGCCTGGTGGAAGCCCTGAGCTCCTCCCCTGGCTCCAGGGAGACCCTGCTGGTGCCCCCCTTTGGGCTCTGTGCCAGAGGACCCCTTAAGCGCAGCCCTGCACACAGGAAATAGATCCAGGTGATCAGCAGAATCAAAGCCACCGGGATGTAGAAGGCTCCTAGGCTTGGACGCCACACCAGCCAGCAGCTGAGGGGAGACACAGGCAGTGGATGAGGAGGGGGAGCACGTCTGAGGTGGCTGGGTGGCTGGGGTGATAGGACATGGTGGGCGGAAAAGCAGAGGTTGGCTGAGTCAACATGCATGGGTTTGGGGTGGGTCGCCGGCTGAGCGGGCCTGGCAGGTGTCCCTGCCAGGGAAGTAGAAGGCGTCCAGTGTCAGGGTGGGTGGGTTTGGGGCGGGCAGGCAGCGGCGCTCACTAGGGGCTGTGGTCCCGGTAGTTGTGGATGTTGACAGCAGCTGTGATGCCACAGATAATGAGTGGGATCCCTCCAGCGATCAGATAGAACCTGGGGAGGAATGGGGTTTGGGGATCAGAGAGATGGGGAACCAAGGGAATTGGAACCAGGTGCCCGGAAACCTTGACTCAGGGTCTCTGTCCCATCCTCTTTCCCCTTTAAATTCTGTCAGAATTTTTTGCCTGGGACGCAAGGCCCCTACGGGGCAGGCTCAGTAGATTCCTAGGGGACTTGGCCAAGACTGTTGTAAGGGACAGAGGCTAGAATTGCTCTCTCACCCTAAACACTGCAGAAATCAGGGTGCTGCTCACGTGGCCAGGATCCCTGTCCAATGCCCTTTGGAGTCTCTTCCTTCCCTGGCTTTGTCATGCGGGAAAAGCCCTAAGGGTGCACCCACCCCATGGCCTTGGGCAACCTGGTGCCACCTAGGGCCTTTTCTCTTTGGAGCCTGATCTCCCAGGATCTTGGACCCACCCTGCATCCACCCTGGGAGGACAGAGCTTGGTGTTCTATACCCGCCTCTGAACCCTTCACCCTTGCAAAGCTGACAGTCGAGGCATGTACCGGAGCATGGGACGGGGAGCGGGCGGGGCAGAGTCCCCTTCTTGTGGAGGGGGCGCTCTCCAGGTGAGCTCCTTGTGGAGGACGCGGGCCTTCACACCCATCCAGAGCAGTGTGGACAGTGAAGAGTAGTGCAGAGTGACACCCACCTGCAGGGTGAGGCCACTGAGGCTGGGGGACGGGGCCGCTACGACTGGAGCCCCCCCAGAGCCTCAGTGCGCAGCGTTCTCCCGCTCCTCCCAGGTTCCCATCCCCAGCTCTACCCAGATCCTCCTCAAGGTTCTGACCCTGTGGTCACCCTCTCGACTTCCAGCCCGGGGTTCTCTCCCACTCCGGAGACTTGACACCCCTGCTCTTGCTTTCTGGCTTGTCCCTGACCTCTCCTTGCAGACCCCATTCTCCACTTTGAAGACCCATCTCATAGTTTCTCTACTTCTTACCTCCCCTCCTCTCATGCCCCCGACCCCAGCAAGGCTGGACACAACAGTGGAGCTGGGGCCTGGTAGCATGAGTCCCCTTTTCCCCCTGCACCCACAGACTCTGTGCCTAGGCTGCCATCACTCATCTAGGAGCGCCCCCCGCCCCGCTCCAGCCCCTTCTCCTGCTTACTGCCTGGCAGACCGTCGGGTAGTTGGTGAGTGTGATGCCTCCTGCAAAGACGGCGGAGGTCATGGCCATGTGGAAGCACAAGTTCAGCAGCATGTGCCAGCCCTTCCGGGACACGTGGATGGAGCTGCCCCAGAAACAGTAATTAATGGGCCACTCCACCCAAGATCAGGTCCATGGGGTCTCAAGGTAATTCAGAGAGCAAGAGGGAAAGGCAGATATCTATGTGCATACATGTGTGCGAGTGTGATAGAGGCCCCAGGGCAGGAAGGGCTTAACCCCCAAGGTGTGTTTTCCAGCCCTAGACCCTGCAAATAAAATGCTAGGCAAGGGCCCAAGAAAGTCATGTGGCCCCACTGGGGAAAGGAACACTTGGCCAGTACTTGGTGAGACCCACAGCCCTCCCTCCTCGCCCACCCCTCCTGCGGGCGCTCCCACCTGTGGTTGAGGATGTAGGTGATGATGGTGGAGAAGAGGCAGAGCAGCAGCAGGGCGGTGCAGGGATACACGACAGGGTGCAGCCCTGCCCCTGAGCCCCCTACCTCCCTGGGGAAGGCACTCAGCTCCTAGAAAGAGTAGGAAAGAGGACGTATTAGGAAGCCAGGGGTAGAGGCCACCCCACGGAGTCCTGGCCAGCCCCCCAGGCCACTTTTCCTTTCCCCAAGCCCTGTCAGCTTTGGCCCCTAGTCCGTCCAGGTAGGTGAAGATGTAAGTGCTGCGAGTCCGCTCTTAGGAAGTCAGTCTTAGGCAGTGTTAATCATCTACTGCCTGCCTATTCCTCCCTCCTAGTCTCTTGCCCTTCCGGGAGCTTTTCTGAGCCTCAGCCTGAAAATCGGGGATGAGGAAAGAGGTGGAAGTTTCTATCATCCAGCTGATCTGGGAGAGCGGGGTGCAAAATGTGGTGAGGGAGTGGGGTGACCAGAAAGGAGAAATGTTCCCAGATTTTTTTTTTTTTTTCCACTTTAACAATCTGGGTCTCAGTGCAGGATGTGAAGACCGGGCTGGGGAGTTCCAGGTCCATCTCTTTCGATGAGCGGAGGCAGAACCCCCCTGTCTCCTGAAAGATGAAAAGGTGTGGGGAAGGCCAGAGGGACGTTTCCCCATGAGTCCTACAGTTACGAGGCCCGATAAGGCTGCTGTCCTCTCTGTAGTTCTCTGTGGCTCCAGGTGATCCGAACACCCCCATTCTCACCTCCCACACATTCCCCGGAGTTCTCCCAGCCTCTGGGCCCCTGTCGCACTCACCATGAGCACGGCCACATTGCCCAAGTGCTGGCAGTGCAGGGAGCTGACGTTGGGCTGGCTGGAGCGGAGCTGGCAGCCCTCGGGGCTCCAAGCCCCGGGGCCGCCCGGCCCGTCCTGGCTCCATCGAGCTGCCATGGGTTCGGCCCCTTCAGCCCAATGCCGTAGCGAGACGGCCACTGGCTCGGTCAGGTTCCCCACGCCACAGCCACCTGCGGGAGACAGGGAGGTCCACACGGGTGGAACCGGGCTGCGGGGAGGCTGGCTGTATGGAACTAGGTGGCGGCGAGTGAACAACAGCCCGAGCGTGCACTGAACGCCTGCGGGCTGGGCGCCGGCCGGACTTCGGGACATGGTTAGGTGCCAGTTCGGGCCCTGCCTTCCAGGTGGTCAGTCTCACCAGGGTGACACAGGGATGGATCAAAATAAAGCACCAGGGGGCGCCTGGGTGGCTCAGTCAGTTAAGCATCCGACTCTCAGTTTCGGCTCAGGTCGTGATCTTGCGGTTTCCTGGGTTCGAGCCCCGTATCAGGCTCTGCGCTGGCAATGCAGAGCCTGTGTGGAGTTCTCTCTCTCTCTCTCTCTCTCTCTCTCTCTGTCCCTCCCCTGCTCACGCTGTCTCTCTCTCAGAATAAATAAATAAACTGAAAAAAAAATTTTTTTAAGAAAAATAAAGCACTGGGAGGTGGCCTGTTCCAAGTGCCAAATGAATGGTGGTGACCTACCTGAAAAGAGGGGACTCTGGGGCTGGGGTCAGGGACAGGAAGGTGGAAGGTACTTGTACTCAGGGAACAAAAGGTGAAGTGAGGATTCGGGGATGGAGGGAGTGGGGGCACCCGGAGAGGGAAAGTTGGCACCAGGTTAGGAGGTCGGAGGGAGGGAGGGAGGCCAAGGTGGGTCAAGGGTCTGTGTTTTTAACTCTTGCAATTTGACAAATCTGGGATATAAATCCCAATGTCTTCCTGAGGCTTTTCTCCAGCAGTCCTTTACAGGATGTCTCTGTCCCCTATCATCCTGGGAAATGGGGTGTGGTCACTCTCCTCTGCCACTCCCCCAGGCTCTTAGGGGGTGCTGTGGGTGAGGGAAGGGCAGGAAGGGGTGTGGGGAGTTCAGCGCCTTACTGGTTCCTGCAAAGATGACAGGGGTGGCCACGCCACGCCTCTTGCCAGGCCCGGGGGCTCCGGGACGTGAGGTGTTGCCGTGGCTGCGGAAGAGGCGGCCATTTCGGAAGACAAGCAGTTGCAGGGTGCAGTCTGGGGGGACAGGGGGAGCCAGGGCAGCCGGAAGGGACGAGAACAGACTGGGCGGCAGCTGGATGGAGGCCAGGGCCACGCTGTTCTGGGGGGACATCGGAGTTCCTCAGAGACATCTAGGACCCCCTAGGACTCCAAGGCCTAACGGCTCCCCCCTCCCCCCTCCCCTCTACCCCTTTTCTGGAGCAGCTTCCACTCACAGGACCCGCTTCCACGAGGCACCTGCATCTGGGCACATCCCCTCTTAGCATCCGCCCCCACACGCCTCCCCCAGTGCCCACCTTGATGTGGAAGGACGACAGAGAAATGCTGGGCCTCCCCGTGGTACAGCGGAAGCGGAGCTGCTGATCAGCCAGGGGCTCTGGCTCCGGGGAGGGGTTCTGGCCGGGGCTTCCGGGCCGTATGCCCAGCACTCCCGCCTCCCTTCTCTGGAAGGCTGTGCAGGTCAGCCCCACGTAGCTGTGTGGCTTGATGAGGTAGGCCTCCAGTGCCACGTTTCTTGAGTTCTAGGGACAGGGAACTTGTCACTCCCCCGCATTTGAGATCTGGCGGCTCTCTCTTGGCTTCCTGCTGAGACCACACGGTCCCTCTCTGCCGGTTTGCTCAGGCTGTGTCCCCCTACGCATTCTTCCTTCCCATCTTCCCAAGGCCTGGCAGTCTTAGGTCTGCTGCCGAGTCTCCCCTACCCCTGGCGATGGCACCTTCTTCCTCCTAAGACCTTTCCTCCCACTCACACCCTACCTTGTATCTTGCTCACTTCTCAACAGATACTAGTTCTGCCACCCCAACTAAACCGTGGAGCAGGGTCCACGTCCAGCCTCCTTGTACCTCCGGAAGTGCCTAGCAGAGCATCTTGCTCCCCTGTGGTTGCTAATGGGTTCACAACCCACCCCTGGCGATCTCACCCTCTTTTCAGGGGACAGATGTCTCCATCACTCCTCATTCCATCACAGTGCTGTCACCCTGATCCCAAGCCCCTCTAGTTCCTTGGGCTGGTGCTACGGTTCCGTTCCCCACCGTGAAGTCTTGCACAACTTCTCCCTCTCACTGGCCCCCTCTCCTTTGCACTGCTCCTGACAACTCGGAACTGAATTCCACTCCACTGAGTCATGCTCCGTGCTCTGGCTAGCTGGGCGCACGGCAGGTGCATACTTGGAGGACTTGCTGCCCGAAGAGAGGAGTGTGTCTGTCCTGGCTGGCGAGGGTTGGCCCCCGTTGATTCTAAGGTCCCTCCCAGTGCGAGGCTCCCCAAGGAGCTTCCTCCCAGCTGACCCATATTACCACAGAGATGTGCTGGGCATGGGGGCTGAGGGCAGCCCCCCCGATGCGCTCCAGGGCACCCACGATGCCGCTGCAGGCTTTGTCTTCACGCTGGGCCAGCCACAGCAGGTGCTCGTCTACCAGCATCAGGTTGCTGGCCATGTCCACCATCACCTCCACCAGCTGGCGGGGGGCAGGGAGTCACTGAGGGCAGGAGTCGGGTTTGGGGCCCAGGGGCGGGGACACAAGAGGCTTGAGCAAGAGACAGGGTGGTTTCCAGGGGCCCCAGAGGCCGGGTTGAATCTCACCTCTTTGATCTGGTCGACATAACCCAAAAATTTTTGGATCATCTGAGCCACATAGACAACATCCATCATGTCCGAGAAGCTGGCCGCCTCAGCTGTGTACACCCGCAGCTGGTGGGCCAGGGTCAGCGCGTTGGAGGCATTGATGGGCATCTGGGAGAATTGAGGGGAGAAAGGAGACCGTCCAGTTCTGCTCCTTCTCCCTGAGAACTGCCCCTAGGGGGCCCCCTTGTCTGTGCGGATGCTCAGGGTGCTGGTGCCTGGGGAGAGGGGTCTAGCCCACCAGCTGGGTCTAATCAAGACAGGAGGCACAAGGAAGGAATGAACTCAGGACTCGAGGCTGTCCACTCCGAACACCACTGGCATAAGGACAATGGGACGACCTCACGCTGTCCTTGTTTTCCCCCTTAAGGCTGTCCTTGCTGTGTTTGGGACTAAAGATGCTCGGGGTGGCCCTGGGAGGGGGTGGTCTGAATTGCCTGGAAGAAGAAAATCGAGAGAACAAGAGCCCCTCACCGCGCACGCCCACGGACAGGAGGGGCGGTGGAGTGGCCGTGAGGGGGCCTCTGGGCCCCGTGGGGCCAGCAGACTTCTCTCCTTCCCGTTTCCCGACCCAGAGCAGACGGGATGCCCCCTGCCCCTCTCCTCTCCTGGCCTCACCAGCACAAAGGTGTAGAGCACGCGGGTGATGTCGTTGGTGTACAGACAGTGGGAGTAGTCCCCGGGCTCCCAGCGGCCAGCTCGGTCACACCGGCGGGAGGCTCGGGTGCCCGGGGCACCCCCGCTCAGGGGCACTGAGGTGAAGGGGTACTGTAGGCAGGACTGGTAGGCTGTGATGCCGGCCAGGGTTCGAGGCCACCTGGGGGTAGAAGCAGGAGGCTGCTGTTGCCCCAGGCTCTTCCTTCCCTCAGAGCAAGGGTCCCTCCCCTGCCCTCGAGAACCTAGATGCTCGGGCCCCTTGGGACCTGGGAGAAGGCTTCAGAAGCGAGGGTTTGGACTGGCCTTCCAGGGGCTCCCGAGCCCCACCTTCTCTCTAACTGTGTGTGTGTTCAGAGTCGGAGCCCTGAGTTCAAGTCACTTAGCCTTGGCGCCCCTGAGTATTCTCAGCTGTACAACAGCGAGAACAGACCCGTCCTCGCTAACTGAGGGGGCCATTGGGATATTACGGCATGTTTGTTGTGCGAGAGTTCTGTGTACGTTAATGTAAGGAAGCAAACCAAAGAAACAAAAAAATCCACCCAAACTTCCTGTTCTGCACAGCACATCTCAGATGGGGAGTTCATACCAAAAGACAAGGGCTCTGTCAATACAGCAGCGGGACAGTGGCACTTGGAGCTGGACGACAAAAGTGCTGTCTGCATCTCAGAGCAGATGGGGAGACCCTGGTCACCGGTGTTGTCA